CAAGAAAGGGCTGAGAGAGAGAAAAGAAATCATTTGGGAGCATCCCTTGAAGTAGCCTGAGACATGGGATGGGGGAAGCTCCTGGGTGTTTATGGAGTTGACCCTCACTGAGGCTCTTAGCAGCTGTGGATATAGAGACTGAATTGGCTACCTGCTCCAGCCAGGTGGGACATGCAGTGGAGGGACATGAACACCAACCAACTCACAACACATTTGACCCAAAGTTTTTCCAACCTACAAGATGCACTTGAATAAAGATAGAGCAGAGATGGTGGGAATGATCAACCAATGACTGCCCCAAAATGATACCCATTCTTTGGGAAAGAGTCAAACCCTGGCATGATTAATGATACTCTACTGTCCATACAGACTGGGCCCTAGCATATCTGTCTCCTGAGTATCTTCATTGAGCAGCTGATCAAACCATATGTACTGTTGCCACAGTCAATTATTAGGCAAGGCTAAGGGATTCCTGGGATAGGATTGAGGAAACCTGTGAGATCAAGGACACCACAGGAATATCTACAAAGATAACTGACCTGGACAAATGGGGGCTCACAGAGACTAAACTACCAACAAAAGAGTATGCAAGGACTAGAACTAGGACCCTACACATTTCTAACAGATGTGCAGCTGGTTTTTCACATGGGCCCCCTAAGAATTGGAGCGGAGGCTGTTGATATTCTGTTGCTTACATTTGTATCTCCTTCCCCAAGGACTGCCTTGTCTAGGCTTAGAAGGAGAGGATGTTCCACCTAGAATTGGAGGTGCCAGGGCAGGTTCTTAACCATGGAGGGTTTCCCCTTCTCTGAGAAAAAGGGGAAGGGTTAATGCAGGGAGAGGTTTGTGAGGATGTGAATGTGAAAAGTGGAAAGAGTGGTGAATAATTAAAGTGTTGAAAAAAATAAAGAGAAGAAGAAAAGAAATACCTAAACTTGAACCATGGAGCAAGCCAGAAAGAGAGTTTCTCTGTGGTTTCTGCTTTGAGCCTTCACCAAGAGACTTGAGATAAGACAGAGGCACCCAAGAATCAATGGGTGTAACCTTAGCTGTGACATACAACATTGGGGCTATGGAACCTGAACAGGTCTGTGAGGGTCATTTTTATTCAAACTAGTATCCTTAAGACAACATATATAAGGATTCAATAGTTCTGCACATGCAATAATGTTAACTACAGCTGAATCACAATGGAGAGTAGAAGACCTATTTATTTTCTTGGTCCTAGTGACTGATGTTTCAACATTTGGAGTAGTTCCATAGGCCTTGTCTCTCACTGGGAGAGATGACAACCCAGTGTCTGTTCTGTTCACAAGGCTGGGTCCCTCGTTAGCCCCTTTTTATCATGCTTACTATATTCCTGAATCATCTTCATTTTCTTACTCCCAGTGCTTGAGCACATCTATGTGTGGAAGCAGATAAGGCAGAGTGTCAAAACAGCTGTGAGTATAAATGCCCAGGGTGGAAACAAGCACAGGAAATCTCATAATAGAGGTGTTTGGGGTTTTCTTAAGACCTGTAAAGTTTACTGTATTTTATGGTACTGAAAGTTCCACCTTAAAAGACAGAAGCACCAAGAGGTGAGACACTGGCCAGGATCAGCCAGTCCTCTCCCTGAAGCAAGTGATAAGCCATTTCCTGTGGACTGATGACTAGACCAGGTGTCCCTCACCTCAGCCTGTGACAGTAAGAGCAGCTTGCACTTGTGCAATGCTGGCACTGCGGTCTCAGGGTCGGATCGGAAGGTTTGAATGTGGGATTCAGATTGTGTCTGCATCAATGTAAAGGTGTGGGCAGTTGTGGTTTGATAACTAAAGGCTTTTACAGCAAAATAGCCAGGAAAACACACACACACACACACACACACACACACACACTATTATATATCTTTTTTGTATGTTTTTTTTGTTGTTTGCTTTTTCATAATAATCAATTTAGAAGACAAAACTCAAAAAATTTATTTCTTCACATTTTTAACTTTACTGTTTTATTACTGGATCATGTCAGTTCAGTACTTCTTGATTTTTGCTGCACTTTGGTAAAAAACAAAACAAACAAACAAGCAAAAAACTGGAGTTTTGCTCAATTCCATTCTATCTGTAGTTACTATATCTTTCCATGCCAATTGTGCTCCTTAAAAGTTTACATTTTTCTATAAATTTAGGCCTTAGTTGTACAATACATATTGGAAGCTGTTGCTCTTATCTCTGTCCAAACAAAAAAACACCATAAATTCTTTGTTCAGTTTCAATTAACTACCCTCCTCCTTCATTGAGTGTACTGGTAGGCCCTTCATATCCTGCTGATGCTATGGTCACAGTAATGAACAAACAGCTCTGGATTTCTTGCTCACAGTCTTTGCATGATGTTAGAGGAGGCAAACAATATGCAGAAAGCACAAAGAAGTGTGCCCTGTGCAAGTGATTAGCCTCCATGTTAAGGATGACACCCTCTCAGCAGATATAAGGATGCAAAAAGGTCTCAGTGGCATTTATAATTCTGTGGGCAGTGTGACTTAAACCTCCTAGATTTGAGGGTAGAATGTTGGTTTTCTAGATCAGCAATGTCTCAGGGCTATAGATGTGTCAGTTTCTCACTTTTGCTCATGTACCCTCCATTTCCTGTCCATCCAAACCCCTGTACTCCTTGCCATGATCAGGTAGAAAATCTAGCCTGATTTGTGTCTTAGAGAAGCTTCTGGAAGCTAAAGTCTCCAAAAAATGTTCCCTTGAAATCTACAAGCTTCTGTTTATATTCCTGATTACAATTAGTCCAAACCCTAGAAGTAGGTGACACACTCTTGATGACCTCCTGAAAACACAGGCTTGACGATTCAGTATTTTGCTCAGATTTTTATGCTAAACAAATATTGGAGTATTTTTCTAGAAATAATAATGATTAATGTTGAATGCAACTTACAATCCTTTTGCCATATTATTATTAAAACTTTATTTGAAGCTCTGTGTGGTGATTCATCCATTTAATACCAGAACTTGGGAAACAGACTCAGGCACACTCTATGATTTTGAGGTCAACTAGGTTTATATGGTTTGTTCCAGTTCAGCCAGGGTTAAATAGTAAAACCTCATCTTAGAAACAACAAAACAAAAAGTTACTTGTGTGTCTTATTAAACCTTCACAGCAACCTTGTAAAGAAATAGCTCTTCTGATTTATGTCGTCAAATAATTCGTGAATGATGGGACTTACATTATGTCACAGGAGCCTGGGTTGGTGTTTCCACTCATGACACCCCAGCTCCCAGATTCCTGCTTTGTGGAAATCTAAAACTTAGTCCCTTCTAAGTGCTCATTATATTCATATTCTATGTATGCTTTAATGATGTATTTGGAGCATAGGTCCAGTATTAGTTATGCAGTGTCCTTAAGTAAGTCAGCAGACTTCTTTAGAGTCTTTCCTGTGGAAAACAGAGACATCACAAGGATATGCCTGCATTGGGACACTGCAACCACTTTATTTAGCACTGCTGCTCCTCCAACCAAATTCCCATGATCTCTCTCTCTCTCTCTCTCTCTCTCTCTCTCTCTCTCTCTCTCTCTCTCTCTGTGTGTGTGTGTGTGTGTGTGTGCGAAGGCTAGAAATACAGGGATTTTCCCAGGGCAAGTGAGTAGTGACAAAATAAATTAGCTGGTGTTATTATGGAAGCATCTACAAAGCATCCTTGGAACTTTTCCTACACAATTGAGATGATTTAATGTCTGTCAACCCTTTCAGGGGACTTCAGGTGCATGATAATGGCAGACTTGAGTGGTGACCCAGAGATATTTGGGTTAAAGAACCAAAAATTGAACTATTGAAATATTTCAGAGTGTAAAATCACTGGACACACAAAGCCCGATGACTTCTTCATATTTGATCCATGGAATCCTCTGTAGTAGAAAAGAACTAACTCCCCAAATTAATTCTCTTACCACCATCAACACTGCACGAAATGTGTGCACTCAAACTCTCTCTTTCTCTCTCGCCCCCTCAAACACACATTCACACACACATGAAACAGTAGTGATCAATATAAAATTTGTTTTTTATATTAAGGTTTTTTGTTTAAGTCTAAAAAGGAACAATTATAGGAGACAGAATCAGGTCATCTAAGACACAGGCACCACGGTCTATTGATAAGGACATGAGTAGATTAAGAAGTGGGAGAAAACATTGGAGTTGGGAGTGAAAAAGAAATAAGGGAGCTTCTGAGCAGTGATGATTCAAAGCTGGCTAGAAGCTAGTAATGGTGGAGAGAGTCAGCAGGTTCCCCTCTGTAATTCTGAGATAGAAAAGAATGAGGCCTGATGACTCTGAGTGTGAGGTCAGGCTATGCCACATAGTAAGATACAACAACTATCTCAAACAAGAACAAGAATGAACAAACAAACCAACCAAAAACAAAACAATAGAACCAAACATAACCCAGGCTTGTGTCTGTAGCTCAGGGGAAGAACATTTAGTGAGCATGCTCGTTGTCTTAGTTATTTTTTTTCCTCAGGATCATAAAAATATCAGCGGTAAAACCATTCCACATTTATAATGACATCAATGTTCAGAGTAAATATTATCTATAACTAAAAAGCTAGAAGAGTATAAAGGAAGACTTCACCAGTGGAAATATGAGTCCTTTAAAGGTTTTCCTAGTACACACTTTGCTGCAACAAATATAATTCAAAATCATGAAGTAACTTTAAAAAACAGTAAAATAAGAGAAAACTTGAAGCAGCCAATTACAAAACTAGAAGCAGAGCAGCTTCAGTCCCTCTTTTCCATAGTGATTTTGCTAAGGACACAGGTTTTGCTCTGCAGGAGTGTTCATCATCTCTGTCTTCAAATATCAATTAAGGATATTTCTTTTTCAGCATCTGGCACAAAATGTTGCTTATCGTTTTTACACTCACAGTCAGCTTTCATTAAGCAATTTCCTCTTTTCACTTTGGTAAGAGGAGGGGCAGAAAATCACAAGGTTGAGTATCACTCAGAGGAAATAAAGGCCAATTTTCCCCCAACTGGGGAATCAATTCCCTCCACCAGAATCGCTTCGGGATACAGAAACAGGTAACAATAGCTGCTTTTATTGTTTTTCTATCAAATGATCAAGTATATTCTAGAGAATTTCAGATGCTGTGACATGAGAGCCGGATTGATGGGGAAGCCCTATTGGTCGTGTTAGATCAGGTTAACTCTGGAAACATGTGAGAACTGTTATTCTGCACTAGTATTTCAGAGTATGCTGTGCCTTGTGTTGTGTGCTAAGAAATTAAGGTAGAAGGATCTATGGAGTTCATAATTCTTTAACTGGATCAAATGTTTGTATATTATTCGTTTGCATGATATCAAATTATAAGCTAGGTAAGATGGGCCAGTGTGTAAATGTACTTGCCACCCAAACTTACCTGAATATTTAAGTTTGATCCCTGGAACTCACATGAAGTTGGAGAGGAAACTTCGTAAAATTGTCTTCTGGACACATGCACCTTGGCTTGAGCAGACCCATTTCAAGAGCAATAATAATAAACAACAACTTTGAAAAGAAATTCTGAAATTGGAGGATTCTTTTAATGTCAAAAAATAAGGCAAAAGATGAATCACTTCAGAAATCTCCATAAATTACAAAACTAGATAAGAATGTTATCAATATTCAGCTTGTTGTCTTTATTATCTGTTAGCTCTCATCTTACTTATTATGAAAGGATAATGTCAGTTAAAAATACATACTATTTACCAATACATTGATATCTACTATCAGATTGCATCCTTCATGGGCATTAGTGCATGTATGCTGCACAGTGACAAAATTTATTTTCCGTATAGCCTCTTCTTTCAACAACATGTATATTATAAGTGTCATGTTTATGTACATGGAATGATTTGAGATTAAAACTTCATCTTGTATCCTCCATGCCTCTCTCTGTTGCTCCCATACTCTACCAGGCAATGTCCCCTTTCTACTTTCCTGTTTGCTGCAGTTACTAAAGGTTATTAATCACATCTGAAGACCGAGCTAGGAAACTCAGATGAGAGACAATATTCAGCATTTGTCTTTCTGAGTCTGGTATAACTCACTCTGTAGGATCTTTCTCAGTTGAATCCACTTACAATGTCCACGCATGGAGAGAAATATGTAGACTGTGGCTGGGTAGAGAGGGTTGGAAATCTCAGCTGATTGGCACTTCAACCCAAGAGATATTTATGTGTCTTGGATCACCTGCAGTATTAACCTTTAAATATTCTACTGAAGGTAGTGTCTGGGAAACTCTGAGACTCATATATAAATAAATAGAATGAAAGCACAATTAATATTCATCAAAATGTATAACTAATTTAAATCAACATTTTCATTTATTCCTAAAGCTTTGAATTTTGATATTTGAATATATTGTTTAAAAGGTTTTCAGTGACTTTCAGTGATACCAATTTTGCCTAATATATTTATATGCTGAATATTTTAAACAAAGAGGCTGTGTCAATATTAGAAGACTTAGTAAATTTTTAATTATTTCCATGTTTCTTAGCAATTTTTCTGAGACCATTAGACATATAAGTAAGTTTAAGATAAATCTACAATGAGTTTTCACCTGAAATGGAAATTGGGTCAGTCAATGTCAGGGTGTTTGGATCATTAAGTGAGTTAATCAGACCTCACTCTTTCCCAACCCTCTATATCATCATATCCAGTTACCTTTCTAAAGACATTTTAATTTTTTTTTTTAAAGAAATCACCCCAGGTCTCATTTAAACAGAGAACATACTCTACATACTCCCAAGATGAGTGAGCAGGAGGTCACTTACTCAACTGTGAGATTTCATAAGTCTTCGGGGTTGCAGAACCAAGTGAGGCCTAAGGAGACTCAAGGGCCCAGAGCAGCTGGCCACAGAGGTAAGTGTCTTAATTTATGTTTTTAAATGCATTTTAAACTTTTAAAAATTAGAAATATCCTACTAGCTTCTATAGAAAACTATAATGTTCCATTTCCTCTAGGCTTGGCTATGTACAAGCGTGGGAGGGAAGAAAAGAGTATTAGTTGGAGGGCAATCACGTACAAAATGGTTCAAAACTAAAATTAAAAAAAATCATAACCCCACTTCTACTCTTTAGTTGTTAGCCAGTTACAAAAGAAATCAGAAGGGGAGAGTAGAACATTAGGAATCTGTAAGGAAAAAAAAATCTTTAGAACCAAGAAATGAGAAACCATTAGGAGAATTTTGACTATTTAGTTTAGTCAAGAAGAATTACGAAAACTTTATTACTAACAGAAAAACTAGAGTTTAAAAAAAACACCCAAAATTCCAGAGAAATAAAATCTTAAGTAAAAGAAACTTTTGCATTAGAAACAATATTTTCTTTCTCTAAGAACGTTTTTTTAAACATCCCCAACACCTAATGCAATAGGCAATAACAGTTGTCTTTCAGAAGAGGAAGTTTCCTACTGGAAATAAAGTTGCAGATGAATGAAAATGGGACGACAGGTTAGTGGGGATAGGAATGAATTAACTCCAGTGAGAATTCCTAAAAATATCAAAGAATAATTTCATTTATTAATAAAAAACAGAAATATCACTTTTTATTCTCTATTTTTATTCCGTACACACTGTCATAGGTCATAGGTGTGCTCCAGACTGAGATATTTTTCTTCTTTGATGTAGTAGTAATCACAGGCAGGAGTTTCAGATTCCAAATGCCTTAGAGAAACCAAAATGTTTAGTATTATATAGATCAAAATCAAGTTTATAGGGAAAAAGAGATAGCTGACCTGTAGGCTCTTTCAAGGATGGGGATGTATACAGATCAGGTCCACAGCAGCTGTGGTTCCCTACCAGTTCTCAAGAACATTCATCCTTTTTTCCTTCCTCTCCATCCTCAGTTATCTTTCCTGGTGGACTGCACGCTCCAGTTAGGTATCTTGCGCTTGGATTCTATCTATGTCTCTAGTGCCTTCTGTAGAATGTATTTTTGTTCCTGTAGAATTGGGTGAGGACACATACCTGTTATCCAGATTTTTCTAGTTTGAGTCAGGAGGATTCACAATACAAAGACCAGCCTAAAATAAGTTCAAAGTGCTGTGAAACTTTACACATAGAATTTCTATACTGGGTGCATTTTAGGTAGAAATCTACAATTTTGAGAGCACATTTTCAGTCTGTATCATAGACTTGTGCAAAATTTCCCATTGTTTTCATGCTATAAATATTGTAGTTAGCATTGAGATGTTCTCTTTTCATGGTTATGATGTTCTTGCTTTTTTTTTTGTTCATTTAAGAGTGTTCAGTACCCTGGCAGCTCATTGTGATAGCTCTTGGAACCCTCTGTTTTCTTCTGCTGGTAACTATTGCAGTGTTGGCAATAAACAGTGAGTAATTGAGCTCAATCTTCTTTGATTTTCTGCCTAAAGAATAGATATTGACATGAACTATGCAGTTACACATGCTGTTCATTTTCCTGCCTATAATCAGGGGATGAGTCAGAATCTTTGGACTTACAATATTTTCTCCTGACAAACTGCAGTGTTCTGTTCTCTTTCATACTTAATCTGTTAGCTCTGGGGCTGTTGAGAGTTGCCCTGTTCTGTCACATTCTTGGCCATGTTCCTTCTGAGGACTTGGTGATAGTCTACTTTCTAAGCTGAGGTGATTGTGAATATAATGTAAACATTTTGTGGTAAACAGCTGTGCAGAGAATCAATGATCTTTTCCTATTTATTCAGTGTATATTGAAGTCATGCTTAAGTAAAAACACTTCATCTCTACAGAGACATTAAAGGTTAAACTTTATTGGATTCCTCTACATTAACAGAGGAAATAACTTCCATACTGGTCTAAAGTATAGCTATATATGTGGATATATGGCATTCTGTATGCTCCAATAAGAATTGTGCCATTTCTTAACATCTTTTTTGTTCAAATTTTCATGGTGTGTTTAGTATTCACTGAATATTTTACTTAGGTAATTATTTGTAAATTTCTGCTGCAAAAAGAAGTGATTGGATGTTACCTCCACCATAATTTTATTCAGCTACGTTATTTATTTTACAGTCAATTTACCTTACAGAAAAATTGATGTATCTTTTTTTATGGTGAGTTAATTGAAATGCTAATTTAAATGTTAAAGTACAAATTATAGTAATGATATGTATTGGTTTGCAACCTGAAGATTTTTCTCTTATTTTAAATTCAATATTTACTTCTTATAAGCATTTTTGTTATTATATCTATGACTAATTTAGTTTTTCAGTGTAGTCAACAAAACCATGAGCTGCAGGAACCTTTAAACTGCCACCATAACTGCAACAACATGCAATGTGACATTGACTTATTAAAAGAAGAACTGCTGAGAAATATGTCTGAAGATTGTTGGAGAGGCTACAATCTTCAGAAATGCCCCAATAGAGAAGAGAACAGATGGTACAGCAAAACCAAGACTGTTTTAAATTCCTCACAGTGCATAGGTATGTAGTGGAGGAGGACCATAAATAGAGAATTGCATTATTATTTATTGTTTCTTCTCTGGAAGCTTTGAAGTCCAACCAGCAGCTTACGATGCTGATGATCTCTGGATTAATTATTTGGGGGTTCCTTATTTTATGTAGGGGCCTGGAAACCCAGAAATCTTTGTTTGGATTCTGAAAGTCTTAGAGTTTCTAGAAGTCAGGTTCTGTTTGGCACTCCTACTGCTCCTTGAGGATAGAATTACAAATCAGTACCCCTAAGATTGTTTGGGTCTGCTGGAAAATCTGAGTCTCCAACTTTGTTGTTGACAGAACATGGAACTTTTTAGTAACAGTGTACTTATCAACTATTTATGCTACAATGGACTTAGAGCATTTACATGAATGTAGTTATAAAAAGAATTGTGTGTGTGTGTGTGTCTTTTTCATTTGACATGTTTTGAGAAAGTTGGACTGTTTGTAAAGAAAAGGGATCCTCCCTGAAGTAGACAAGGGAGCTTCACCATGGTGTGTACACTTTGCAGCTCTGTCAGTGACACAGTGAATGAGGATAGAGAAATGAAAAGATCAAGTGTCACTTGCAACCTTTCTTACCCTTCAGTGTGACTTGTTATCTTTGACACAGTTTATCAATCATCATAAAATATTGTTTTCAGAGTTTGGAGATATTAAAGAACACTTTTATATAATCTCGCCTCTCTGTGATATAGTAGGATGTGATGATTCTCATTAAGTCAAGATTAATATATTTAAATATAATATATTTAAAATTGCTACATTATAAAATAAAAATCTGTGACAGGGAAAAAAAAGCTCCAAAACAAACTTTGAAGTATTCCAGATCCATACAAATTGCTTTGTGTCATTTCTTTAAAATAACTTAGATTCCTGTGCCTCTGCTCTATCCACCATGGATCTCCTCTGTGTACCATGAACAGCATCATCCCAGACATAGCTGTCGGTACAAACTGGGTATCTGAGGAGCTCTTCTCCATGTGTGTCAGAAATGGCCCCTTCATCATGAGCAGGTCGGCCTCAGCAGCCAATGGAGCAGGGTTCCCTCTCACCTTTGCCATCCCTCAGGCCACAGGTCTCTCTGTCTCTAATGTACATGGAGCCCTGCCCCCCACCCCACCACCCTTTACTGCTGCATGACTGGCAGGTGCTGGGAATTTGGTCCTTTTGGTCAGCAACCTGAACTCTGAGAGAGTCACATCCCAAAGCCTCTTTCTTCTCTTCAGCATCTATGGTGATATGCAATGGGTGAAGCTCCAGTTCAACCATAAAAAGAAAGAGCTTGTGCAGGTAGCAGAAGGCAGCCACGCCCAGCTGTCCATGAGCCACGTGAAAGGACACAAGCTACACAGGAAGTCAGTGCACATAACACTGTCAAAGCATCAGAGTATACAGGTGCTATTGGAGTGGAGTGTGACAGGAGGACCAGGGCCTGACCAAGGCTATGACAGCTCATGGCTGCAAGGCCTCAAGAATCCAGAATGCAAGAACTTCCAAAATATCTTTCCACCCTCAGCTACCCTACACCTCTCCAACATCCTGCCGCCTGTGTCAGAGGATGACCTCAAGAGCCTCTTCTCCAGCAGTGGTGGTATGGTCAAAAGAACCACAATGTGCGATTGATCCAGATGGGCTCTGTGGAGGAGGGAGTGCAGCTGCTGATTGAATTGCACAACCATGACTTATGCAAGAATCGTCACCTGTGAGTGTCCTTTTCCAAGTCCAGCATCAAGGTGCCTGTGGGCCTGCGAAAGCTTCCACCATTCCAGAGAAGACACTTTAAAAAGCAGCTGAAGTGACCTTACACACCAGAGATTTTATTTTTTTAAAGAGAGATAAGTTTACCTGTTGTTTTAAAAAATTAAATCTAGTCTACTTTGATTTGGGCCACAGAGGCTCAGTAAGTCCTGGCACCATGCCTTGAGGGGCTCAGGCGTGAGGCCACAGCAGTGCCCCAAACAAAGCTGCTTTCTGTGCCTTACAAACCAGAGTGGCTCATGCCCACACACCCACACTCTAAGGCAACCAGTTGTCTCTAGACCTGCAGGTGAGCCAGGTGGCCTATATGTAGGCTCCCCAATGCTGTGCAAGAGCTGAGGCTACTCAGACCAGAGGAATCAGACTGTCCTCAGCTGCTGAGTTTCATGTGACTTTTGTATTCTATTCCATGTGGTCACAGACACCTGTGACTAGCAATATTTCCACTTGAACAAATACCCTAATCTTTTCAATTTATATTCAAGAGATATAGCTTTAAGTATTTTTTGTAGCAATGATATAATTGTATGTGTGTACTCTAAACTTCTGTGTCCCCTACGCTCCTTCCTTCCAGTGACCAATTTACAGAGGGGCCCAGGACAGGGCTGGAGAAATAGCTCAGAGACTCGTGGGTTTCTACCTTCTCATTTTGGACCAAAGTTTTGTTTTCTGCCTGTCTCTGACTATGTCCAGTTGAGGGTCAGACCTCTAGGCCTTAATGTCCCTCCCGGATACCCACCTCCATCTTAGCCTGTTTCGAGGTGAGGGGTTATCTGAACCCTGGTTCTGTGAAAATCTTAGAAGAGTGTAAATATTTATGATTTTATACCTATGGGGCTGAGACGGTACAGCACTTTTTTTATGGTGACAGATGGATATTTTGGTAACGACTACAGGCTTAGTATTGTCCTGGGGCTAGCTCTGGTCACATCTTCCCCATCTCAGATGGTGTATTGGGGTAGACTTTCCATTAACAAAGTTTTATAAACTTTGCCTTCCCTGAGCCATTCATTCTAAGCTGTAGGCCAGGCTGGACCTACAGCTGGATTCAATAAACATCTGTGTCTTACAAAAATAAATGAATTAATTAATGAAGTAATTTGATGATCTGTAAAGGGTATGATAATGATGTTCTCCCTAAGATTATGAGATTGAAGGTGGAGAATAATAACTTTCAGGAATATATGAACATGCCAGCAAATTCCAGGACAGCCTGACCTACACATTGATAGCTCTTTACAGAAAAATGAAATTTGGAGATAAAGTTTGTCAATAAAGCATGTGCATTTACAGCACCTCATTAAAGAAAATATTTATATTGAGGTGATGTTGTCCTACAAACTATTAAACTTGAAACATTTGGGCATATGGGTACCACACTGAGGGCATCAACATAATCAGGAGAACAGACTATCAGCATCGAAACATGTTTCTTATGTCTCTCATTTCTCTTAAGGTAGAGGATTTAACACAGAAGAGGGCACAATAGTAAGAGCTTTGTAGTGTGTGGACCAGTGTGGGTACAATGCATTACTGCAGGACTTGAATTCTGTCCTCAGTTTAGCTCCCTGTGAGTAGCAGGTGCTCATTGCCTTTTCTCCAGGCTCCGGCATCTCACAAGCCTCTGCTTCATAGAGCTGGGCTGTTTTAGAAGCCTGATCTTCCTGGAATCATAAAGTGTGGTCCTAGGTGTGGTGGGTTTCACTTTGCACATCATCCTCAAGTTCATCCTTGTTCATCACATACATTAGCATTTCTGTTTGGGCTTCAGTGTGAAACATTATGTTACACTCCATCCCAGGGTGACTTAGAACTCACTGTATACCCAAGGCTGGACTGGAATTCACCTCATAGCCTAGACTTGGCCTCTAACTGGTGGTGACCCAACTGTTTGTGTCTTTGGAGTGCTCAGTTTATAGACATAAGTCATCAGACTGTGCTGATTCATTTCATTTTAAAAGATAAATAGTATTCTTCTGTGTGTATGTGCTACATTTTCTCTACTGATTCAGCCATGATTGATGCACAAAATGTTTTTGTATTGCTATGTTACTAAAAATTTTGCATAGATCATGAGTATGCAGGGGTCTCTGGGCATTAGAAATTGAGAGTTCTCCATTTCTGAGACCTGTGAGATGTTATTTTTTTTTTTACACAGGCTTAATAAATACATTTTGTTTTGTAACAGAATGCCAGGATATAAGTTTAACCATGTATTTACCTTCTCTGTTTAGGAAGAGGTGAAATACACTGGTTCTGCTATGGTATAAAGTGTTATTATTTTATCAACAATGATAGAAAATGGAATGGATGTAATCAGACCTGCCATAATATCAGCCTATCCCTTCTGAATATTGATGATAAGGATGAACTGGTACTGTAGACACTAATTTTTCCACTTTATTGTCTTAGTCTCTGTCTCTAACCCTGAATAATGAGCTACTGAACCAAGTCTTTTCATTTGTATATGCTTTTCCTGTAATGTGGACAAAAGTGTGGGACACAGGTCTGTTAAGAGAGACTTGTGAATACAGAGACACTTGTGTCCTTCAGTCTCCTCCATTTCTCAGGAGTCTACAAGAGAGTCCCTACGAAAGCTGTCCTTCCATGATGAAGTTTAACCCTTTGGTACAGCACATCCTATGGCTGCCAGTTATTTATCTCTATAGAGTACCAAATAAACTCCTGCTGTCTAGGTTTTACTCTTTGGAATTTGGAAGTGAGGCTACGTGAGATGAGTAATTAGATGACAATAGGGAAATTAGTTGATATCTGTGCCTGTCTGCACAATGGAGATCATATGGGAACCAAGGAATTAAATGGATTTAACCTTTACCCCATGGTGATTTTCACAGGCCCTGTCAATTTATACTGCATAGTATTCTAATGTTTTGTTTAAAAAAATCCATGTTTAGAAATGGTATTTAAAGAATCAAACTTTCCAAGATTCTGATATTTCCTGCTTAAATTATTGTTAATGAAGTCTCTTCAAATATAAAAATTATACTTTTCAAGAGCAATGATTGCAGGACTACCTTGAAACCTTTGTTAATTACAAGTCAGTCTCTGAGAGCCCCAAGTCTAGGTTAGTTGATTCAGTTGATCTTCCTGTGGAGTTCCTATCCCTTTCTGGGCCCACAATCCTTTGTCCCCAAGCTCTTTTCATTGTTTAGTATGGTTGTCTGTATCTGTATGTGTCAGCTGCTGGGTGGAGCTTCAGAAAGGACAACCAATCAAGACTCCTGTCTGCAAGCATAACAGAGTATGATTAATAGGATCTGGGACTTATGCTTTGCATGGGATGGGTCTCAAGTTGAAGCAGTTATTTGTTGGTTTCTCCCTCATTTGTTGGTCCATCTCCAACCCATGTATTTCTTGTAGACAGGATAAATTTGTGGTGGAATGGCTTGTGGGTAATTTGGTGTCCCTACTGCTTCCACAGGTTATTTTCATGGCCACAGGAGGCAGCCTCCCCCGGCTCCATACCTCAATGCTGTGAGTCACAGCAAATGACACCCCTATAGATTCATGTGTACCTCCCTATCACTGGTCTCCATCCTGGAGATGTCCCCTACCACCTCCATCATCAGTTGCAGAGTTCCATTCATTCTCATGGCCATCAGCATATCTTCCCACCCCCTCCTACACTTGACTGTAACCCCCCACTCCCCTACATCCTTTCTGCTACTCAGTTTTTTCATCTATCTGCCTTCTATATCCATTCCATTCCCACATCCAAGTGACACTCAATCACCCAGGCTTGTGCCCTTCTTCCTGTTCAGCCTCCTTAAGTCTGTGGAGTGCAGCATGGGCATCCTGTATTTTATGTCTAATGCCCACTTGTAAGTAATACATGTCATACACGCTCCTTTGGAACTCGGTTACATCACTCAGGATAATATTCTCAAGTTCTATCCATTTACCTCCAAAATTCATGATGTCTTAGTGTTTCATATGTGAATAGTATTCCACTGTGTAGATGTACCACAGTCTTTATTCATTCTTCAGCTGATGGACATCTAAGTTGTTTCCAGTTTCTGGCAATTACAAATATATCTGCTATGAACATAGTTGACCAACTCTCCTTGTAGATGCAGAACATCTTTTGGCAATGTGCCCAGGAGTGGTATAGCTGGTTCTTGAGGTAGAACTATTGCTAGTTTTCTGACAAACCACCAACCTGTTTTCCAAGGTGGTTGTACAAGTTTCCATTCCCACCATCAATAGAAGAGTGTTCCCTTACTTCAAAAGCTAGCAGGCATAGGGTATCATGTGAGTTTTTAATCTTATCCAATCCTAATAGTATAAGATGGGATCTCAGTGTTGTTCTGATTTGCATTTACCTGATGGCTAAGTACTTTGAACATTTACTTATATGCATCTTGACCATTTGAGATTCCTCTGTTGAGAATTCTCTGTTTAGCTCTGGTATAGAAAACGCAATAGAAGAAACTGAAACATTAGTCAAAGAAAATGCTAAATCTAAAAAGTTCCTGCCATAAGCAGGAAGATTGTGCATTCAAGGACAGCCTTGTTTACATAGTGAGACTTGGTCTAAGAACACAGTCACAAATCATGCCATGATCCCAGTATCTGAGGACACCTGAAGTTTTTATTTTAAATAACTTATTGAGCTGACAGTTTTGATATAAATGTGCTACTAGTGGGAAGTCACTCTGGAAAATGAACATGGTGGGACTGAGCGGTGGGAGGACAGGACAGCAGAGAACGACACAGGAATGTTGGAAACTTTTCTTGCTTGTTCTTCTCTCATCAAACAGAAATTTCATCATAAGGTGTGTTGTTTCCCTTACAGGAGCTCCTTCGGTGCCAGATTATTCCAGACACTTACTGGATTGGACTGAAATATGATAATAAAAAAAATGAATGGAGATGGATTGATAATGGCCCATCTATACTGTGAGTTTCTAGACCCTTCCGACTATATCACTTGTGTGGGAATTGGAAGGATTGTGTGCAAAGGCTTTTCTTTCCTTTCACATAGCTTTCCTCATTTTCTATGGAGCTCATTGTTAAGGTCAAGTTACTTAAGGCAGTCTCTGAGCAAGTCTTACAGAGGGAAGAAGCATGGTTGAGGGACTGACCAAAAGTGGCTTAAGAATGCATACATCTCAGGACTGTGTCTTCTAAGTTGTGACAGGCACTAGGAAGTCAACAACTTGTGATGGTATGAAGTGACTGAATTATCATGACAGTTTGAGTTTGAGTCTCTCTGATATTCGTGTGACATTTTTTACTATTGTTAGCTTATATAATTGTTGGTTATTTATAAATATGAGAACATGTTTATATACACATACATATGTATGCCTACCATCTATTTCAAGGTGTTTAGTTGTATAAATCTCAATTTTTTGTTTATTCATAATCTGGTAGAAAACTGTTCACTGCTTTTCTTTATTAATAAATATATTTTCTCGACTATTTCATATACATAAAATAATATATGAACATATCATCCCCTAGTACTACTAAAAGCTGTAATATTACCCCAGGAAGTCATGTCTTTGTAACTAACTGCCATATGTGCATGGTTGTAGGTTATCCACTGGAACAAGGAAACCCAGCAGTGGCCACACCATTAAAGAATTGAATCTCCCTTTTCCAAGAGCTATCATCTAAGAATAGTTATTCCTTAAGAAGAAGTAATCTTTGTAGAGATTTCATCTTGTCAAGAGCCTGCATTTTGCAGAGCTCCTTCTCTTCTCTGGTTCTTACATTCTTTCTCTGTCATCTTCTCTGCTGTTCCTTGAGTCTTCCTGGTGGTATGGATGGAGAGAAGATGATGTAGATATCACCGTCAGGGACGGTCATATAAGCACTTCTCCTAAGCACATTGACCAGTTCTGTCTCTCTGCAAGGACTATAGACCACTGTATAAAGAAGCTTCTCTGACTGAAGTTCAGAGCAGCATAGGTCTAAAATATAACTATACTTGTTAAGAATGCATTTTAACCCCTGACCACTTAGCAGAATGATTGTAGCAAGTTCCAATCTAGGGACTGTAACCGTCCCAATCTTGGATTTTGATTCAGATTACAACGCCAAATATTATTCCCTCATAAATAAAGCACCAGTTCCAATAAGAAAGCATCTATTTATACTGTAACCTACATTGCCTAGCAAATCAATATGGTAGCATGCAGGGTCAAGTGCAGGATAGAACTACTCATATCTTTTCTCCCCTGCAACTTGCCCAACATCTACTAACACTTTGAAAGCCATATATCCTGCAATGTTGGAGGTCTGTGGTCTTGAGATTGACCTCTCTATGTGTTGCTTTTCATTATTTCTTGGCTTCTATTCCTTTTTGTTGTGCTTGATTCTTTTTTTCTAGAGCTTTCATGTGTATTTTTAAATTGTTAGTAAGAGAAATTTTTGATTTCCTTATGTAGGCCCTTAGTTCTATGACATTCCTCAAGCACTTTTGATCCAGATCTTTAGGAACAGTGGTTATGAAAAGCTTAGGCCCAGACATGGTGGTGCACATCTTTAATCCCAGGAGGAAAAGGCAAGAAAATGTTTGAGTTCAATGCCAGCCAAGGACAGGGCAAGTTTTAGGTGTAGTAAAGCTTAAATCCAGGCATGGTAGTACATGCCTTTAATCTCAGCATTCAGAGGGCAGAGCCATGCAGACTTCTGAGTTCAAGGTCAATCTTCAGAGCAAATTTCAGAACAGTGAAGATTAGTCAGTGAGGGAGTTGTAAAACTGAAAGCTGGTAATTAAGGGGGTAGGATTTGTTACAATCCTAGCAAGTAGGAGAACTTGGCAGCTTCAGCCATGAGGATCTGGCAGTAAAGAATAAAAGGATGCTGGTTAGCTTGACCTAAGAAATTAGGCATGATTAAGAAGAGACCAGCATCATTGAGGTGAAACATGCTGGCAAGTGTTTTCTGAGAGGACAAAGAAGCTGTATTCAACAGAGGTAAGACTATACCTCTTGCTGCAGATGGCCTTGGTAATGTGTAAGAATCACACAGGTGGTACTAGCTTTGAAGGTATGAAAGGATTATGAAGCTTCTTGCAGCTGAAGCTTGGCACAGTGAGAGGCTAGGGAAGGCCATTGGTAAAGGTGCATACTCAATGGCAGTTTATGGCCTAGGAGTGAGGGGCCATAAAAGTAAATTGAAGTCTGGCACCATGAAGAGAGCTTATGAGAGGCTATAGGTGAAGCCTCATTGCAGCAGAAGACCCCAGCATATTGGTGATACTGGTATCATGCGATCACCACCAGGAAAAGCAGCAGAAATGGAGTAAAGTCAACCACAACCTAGAATGCTACAAATGGCAAAGCTGGAGAAGTAATGCAAGGCCTTTGGAGGAACCCTGAAAATTGTGAATCATAGATATTGGAACAAGAAACTGTGAGCAGAGGAAAGATGCTAACAGGAGATGAACCCAGCCCAGAAGAAAGAAGTTTGTTGTAGTCAAAAAAAAATGAAAAAGAAGTAAGAGATATGAAGAATACATTGATATCAGACTTGGACATGCAGAATTTGGACCTGCTTAGATGGTTTTTCTGTTTTGATTTAGTCTAGTATTTTTTCAGTATGGAATTTTGAAATGGTATTTTATATCCTGTGATGTTGGAGGTATGTGATCTGCTGTTTGATATAATTTTTATTGAAGATTTTTTTTAAGGGATTGAATCTCAGAAAAAAACTTTGAACTTTGAACTTTTAACATTGATGAGACTGCTATAGGCTGTAGGGATTTCTGAACTTGGACTAAGTTCATTTTGTATCAAGGTATGCCTAGGTATATCTTCCATAGACTACTGTGTTTGAACAAACCTATGGGAGTCAGGGAGTGAAATATGGTGGTTTGAATATGCTTGGCCCAGGGAGTGGTATTATTAGGAAGCATGGCCACTAGGGTAATTTTGGTTTTGTTGGAGAAAGTGTATCACTGTTGGAGAAAGTGTGTCACTGTGGGGGCAGATTTTCAGACCTTTCTCCTATCTATGTGGAAGCCAATATTCTCCTGTCTGCCTCTGAATCAAGATGTAAAATTTTCATCCCCTTATCCAGTCCCTCATATGCCTAGATGCTGGTATGCTTCTTTCTTGATAATTGGCTGAACTTCTGAACTGTAAGCCATTCCCAATTAAATGTTGTCCCTTATAAGTGATGCCTTGATCATGGTGTCTGTTCACAGCAATGAAACCATAACTAAGACACCAAGCTCTAGGCAATAAACATAAATAATTTATAATGCAATTTTGCTACATGACTATGTAACAGAAGATTCTGCCCTACGGTTCCTGATCTCTCCAATAACGGGCTTTTCATTTGATTAGAATTTCAAACATGATCTCCCTCATGTGGTAATTGATTCAAATCCAGTAACAAAGCAATTAGCTACCCACTGAAAATGGTACCCATGAGCATATCTTGCTTAGCATGTATGTATCTAGGCATGGTGGGAATAAAGCCATTGATATCATTTGTCCTCCCAGCAGCCTGCAATGTACATTTGACCCTTTGAAATGTAGCCAAATAAAAATGTTTCCTGATTGATTTTACACTAAATCTTTGTGTCCTGGTGTCACAGTGTGCTATATCTTCACCAATTGGGTGTTACCATGTAGTTATGGTGAAAAAGCAAGTGTAGAGGCATTAACAACTCAGGGTTCTACCTGCTTCTCTCCCGCCCCCCAAAATGCTGGAATTGAAGGTGTGCATCACCACCACATCTAGATCTATTTTGATTATTTACCTACATTTTTAAATAGAATATATTTTGTTCAGGTTTTCCAACCCCACAATTCCAAGATCCAACCCAACTTTAATCCACAACCAATTTTATGTTCTCTCTCTCTCTCTCTCTCTCTCCCTCCCTCTCTCTCTCTAAATTGTTTTTATTAATTGTTTTATTTGTGTACATTCCAGGTTTCCCCTCCATAAACTGCCCACCACATCCCCCTCACCTTTGCTAATAAGACAATGCTTCCCCACCCATTTAACCACTCACTCCCTCCTCACAGTTCTAGCATCTCACTTCTCTAGGGAATCAAGCCTCCATGGACCAAGGGCCTCCAATCCCACTGATTCTAGAAAAGGCAGTCCTCTGTTCCATATGTAGGGGAAACCATATATCTTTTTTTTTTTGGTGGTTTATTTAATTCCTGAGAGTTTTGAGGAGTCCTGATAATTGATACTGTTGTTATACCTATGGGGTTGCAATACACTTCAGCTCCTTTAGTCCTTTCCCTAAATCTTCCAATGGCATCCTTAAGCTCAGTCCAATGGTTGCAAATGGTATCTTTATCTGTTTTAGTCAGGTGCTGGCAGAGCCTTTCAGAGAACAGCCATTCCAGCCAAGCCATTTGCTTGCTCCTGTCTGCAAGCAAATCTTGGCATCAGAAACATTGTTGGGGTTTGGTGTCCATGATGGGATGGATCCCAAGGTGGGAAGGTCTCTGGATGTCCTTTGCTTCAGTTTCTCCTCTATTTTTGTCCCTGCATTTCTTTTAGACAGGGACAATTCTGGGTTAAATATTTTGATATGGAGGGTCCCTTCCCTTCACTTGGGGTTATATCTATCTACTGGAGTTAGTCACTTCAGGTTCTATCTCCCTGCTGTTGGATATTTCAGCTAATCCCATCCCCATTGGGTCCTGGAATCTTATGTCATCCCTGATGTTTGGGATTTCCTAGTAGTTCCCCCTGTTCCTCACCCCCACTGCCACTTATGTCTATTCATTCTCCTGGCCCACTGGAATTCTCTCCTGTCTCTTTCCATACATGTACCTGTTCCTCTTTCAATTTCAGGATATCTTTCAGAACAGAGTGTCGGCTGGGTGAAAGTTCAGCAGAGAGGCCACTATGACTCTGCCTATGATTCACTTATCCTTATCTAAGTTGGTAGTATCCACCAAGGCTACCTATTTACAAGGTCTATGACTACTTAGGCTGGTAAATTTCCATAAACGTTGCCTGTTTACATTAGCTTATAGCCATCTGTTTCAGTGTTTTTTCCACAGAGACCCAAGACTTTGTGTTAGCATGCATGTATGTCAGGGCTATTGCTGATTTTAGGCTTATGGCTAATTTTAGGCCTTAAGTGTATAAGCAGGGCTGCCCCTGACATCTCTTCCCTTCTCTAAGTATAGAAGGGCCATGGCAATTCTAATCTTGTGAAGGTGGGGATAGAGGCCTGACCTCCAGGAGTTGAAGGGGGACCTTGTAATGGCTCCGGTCCTCCTGTCGTTGTTCAGTGAGGCATGAGGGCCATACCATCCGGATGTCTTTTTTCCTGGAGAGGGGATACTTTTGACATCAACTCCTATGCAGTCAGGCTTGTCCCTTATGGAACCCAGAGAGATATTTTTAACTTTTATTTCTATTCCCTTGCAGTGATTAGCCTTTCAGCCTAAGCAAGAATTCAGATTGCCAGTCAGAGGGGGTTCTGGGTGGCCCCTCTCTGCTTGGTCTAGGGGCAGAAGTCCCTCTTTTAGGTTGGGTGGAGATGGGTTTTGGGAACACCCTGAATGGAATAGGACAGAGTAACAACCTCATCTTGAGTCTCGTGGTCCTCCATAGATAACTTATGATAGTGTATCTGAATCAGTTTTGTTACCAAATTTTCTATCTGTTGTTTAACAAAGTTAGTCAGCCTGTTTAAGACCTTTGATGGGCCATTGACATGAAACATTGAACAGCTAGAGATTGGCATCACTAATCTGAAGAAATCATTCGTTTCGCTGTCTGAAGTGATCTCTAAAAATTGGAAAGGACTTTATTGGACTTGATTTACTCTTTTACAGTAGAAAAGACTGTGTACAGCTTTTGACTATGTACAGCCCTTAAAGAAGAATGTTGCTTTTATATAGACAAGACAGGGATGGTTAAAGAGAACATGAAAAAGGTCCGAGAAAGTCCTGAGAAAAGACAGAGAGAAAGTGAAAGATGAGAGCTGGTACAAGAATTGATTTTGAACCACTCCATGGTTGTCAACCCTACTTTCTCCCATCTTGGGACCATTAACTGGGTTATTTTAGATTATTTCATTTTGTCCCTGGGCCTTAAATAGGCTGACTAACTTTATGAAACAACAGATAGTTATTTCATCCTTTCAATCTGTCATCACAGCACAAAATATCATAGACAAACTAGTTCAGTATAAAATTATCACTTATTATTTGAGTAATGCTGAAAAAATAATTCTGCTTGCTGAACAAAATTACTGGTATGGAAAGGAAAATGCATTGAGTCATGATCAGAGACATTTTCTATGTTTATTTTTACTGTTTTTGTAGTTTTGTGTGGATTTATGTGCATGTACATGCACAGATCACAGCTCATGAGTGGACAGCTGAATGAAGTTAGGTCTTTCCTTTAATTCTACATCATCTGAGGGCTAAACTCACATGGTCACATTTGGTGTCAACAGTCTCAATCCACTCAAGTCACTGGTCCAAGAACATATTTTAGGAGTTTAGGGAAAATAAAAATGTTTTAGTCATACACATTTATTTAATTCCATATTCTATACATTTTAGTCAATAAACTTAGTTTCAAAAATCTTGGCTTCTACAATATAACCTTCAAATTTTAATGACTGCCTATTATATTTTTGTTTTATAGAGATTTGATGACAATAAAATCAGAGAAGAAAACAGGAGGCTGTGCGGTTTTCAGTATGACAGGTATACATAGTGATGACTGTGGTAAAAAACATCCCTGTATCTGTGAAAAGAGAATGGACAAAGTCCGTGCATCAGTGTGCAGTGTGAAGGAAAGGTAAAAATGAAAGGTTATCTTCTGTGTTTGTTTCATGTGATGATTTGTTACTAGGTACCAACTGAAAGTTTCAATCACAGGTCTCAGTCTGATGTGCAAATAGAGAGATGAGCTGTAAAGGGAAGAAATGTTTTTCTGAAATCTGGCTTAATAGAGAAGAAGTCATATTCCTTTCTGGCACATGGAGCAGCATGCATGTGGAGAATGGACACCCTTTGTTTCAAGACCCTAAAGATTCACTCACATTGTCTCCTGATTGACACAGAAAACCACATAGAGAACATGATACATAATGTATATATCACATTATCATTAGGATATTTCTGTATCCCATGGCTTTGATAGCACAATTAATATCTAATTTGCCATTGTGAGTTGATATGTGTTGGTTAGTTACTATTTTGTATTTTTTGGATGTTGAAGAAGTTGCCATTTTAAAAAAGCTTTTGGGATAAGGAACTGTGGGGGATAGGACTGAGGGTAGACAATGAATGGACTGTTAATAAATAAAATAATTTTAAAAAGGTTTTGTTTGATATAAAATATAATTTCAGGCTTTATAACTCATGCCATGACTAGTTCAAGAATCTCACAGAATCTTCCATAGTCCACATCTGTTCTTATTTTCTTTCTGTCTGTCTTTGTTTTATTTGATGGGAAGATGTAAACTGATAGATACAGCAAAATTTATTGAGGCTAGATAGGTATGGTGGCTCAGACTTACAGACATTCTACATACATGAGTTGGAGGGAATCCTAAGCTACATGTAAATTTGAACATCATTTTCTATAGACCGAGTCTCTGTCCTATGAATCCTAACAATGACAGTAGTAGTAATAATATTATAAATTGTTTATAAACATTTTTCTAGAAACGCAATCTCTTTCACAGCATAATACTACAATGATAAAACTCAAAAAATTTATTATTGATTAATTATTATGCTCTGTTCCATGATTCACATTCATGTCTGTTAGTTTTCTGGATGATGTTAGTATGTCCTAAGGGTCAGTATCATGTTGTATATTTACTTGTAATATCCTTGTGACCTTCAATTTCAAAATGGTTGACTTGCATATTTTTTTTTTTTTGGTTTTGATCGTGAAGCTGAATTATCTACAGTAAGTCATTTGAAATAAAATTTGTATCCAATAAGCACACCTCTACAACCACCATTGTACTAAGTAGATTTATGTCCATTTGACACGAAATAAAGTCATATCTTAGGAAGTAGCCTCAGTTCAGAAAGTACCTTAATGAGATCAGGCTGTGGTAAATAAGCCTGTAGATATTTTATTAACTAGCAATTTATGTGTGAGCGCCAGTTAGATTGTGGGTGCCACCTTTGGGCTTGTGGTTTAGGATACTCTAATAAAGAAGGCTGAGCAATGAGAAGTAGACCAATGATCAGCAAACTTTCTAGACCTCTGCATCAACTTCTGCCTCATGTTCCTGTTAGGTTTGAGTTTCTGTCCAGATTTCCTTCAGTGATAGACTGCAATGTGTAAGTGTAAATAAAATAGTCCCTTTCCAATTTACTTTCACCATGGTCTTTCATCAGAAGAAAAATATAGACTAAGAGAGCCATCAAACCCTAACATGAAACTATTTTATTTCCCAAAGTACTTTTCTGCTCCTTGTCTTCCCCGGCATGCCCAATACAGGGATTCATATACTGTCTTGCAGTCTAAATTAGTATGACCTAGTTCAGAGTGTAATATACTCTGTAAGTTTTTGTATTTGATTCCATTTTCTCTGTATATTTTCTTTACTACTGATTTTTCAGATAACTTATACTTTTTTCACAAACCAGTGATTCATTCATTTTGTTACCCAGAACTCTCTGTTACACAAATCACCATGGCATTCTTCCATTAACGTGTGAATGTATCATGTGTTTCTAAGTTTCAACAATTATGAATAAAGTTGTCAAGTCAATTTTGTGTTTCACTGTGTGAAATATATTTTATACCTTTATTTTTATATATCTATCAATATCTATCTATCTATCTATCTATCTATCTATCTAATCTAATCTATTTTGGTAAATATTCAGAGCTATAGTATTTATTTTCCAGTGTTAAGTGATGTTTTGTTTCATAAGGAACTTGAACCACGTTTACCCTCATTTTCACCACCCTTTGATGCTATAAATCCTTTGAATTTATATCATCTGTATGAATTGAAGAGTTCTTATTTCTTTGAGATTTAATGATACCAACAATCTTTTCATGTATTTACAGGCCATTCAGGTGTTTTCCTTTCTCAAATATCTGTTCATATGAACTCACTTGTTATAAGATTTTTTTCTGTCTTCAAATTGTAAGAAGATTTACATACATACATGCATACATATACATACATACATGCATACACACACACACACACACACACACACAGAGACACATAAATACACATAATTTGGATTCAAAATCATTGAAAATATGCCAAAAATATCCCTACTGTCTAGTTCAACATTTTCTGAAATATATCATTTAATAACAGGTAATTTAACTTTCCACAGAAGATTGACTTGGTAGTTTTTCATGCTTTCAACATGTCTTTGAGTACATTAAATTACAGATATTTTATCTGTTAATTCATTCAGATATTGGTAGGTGTAACATACACATTTAGGTCATATAATATTTTATTTTAATTTTTAATTTACAAACTTGTTGGTGTTTGTCTGTTCATATGCCTTGTGTGTATGTGTACCTGCAGAGGCCAGAATAGGGCACTGGATCTCCTGAAGTTCTAGTTTTAGGAGGTTGCGAACTAACTCTGTGTTGGGAAATAAGCTGATTTCCTCTGTAAGAGCAGCATATTCTTTCCCTTTTAAATATTATAGCAGAAATTCATTGAATAGATTCTTTGTGCTTATCAATGTGCTGGGACTTAAAACTGACTTTACTTTTCAAAGAAGTTATATTTTATTTTAAATATATTTGTATTGAAAATAAATTTTGTAATACTATACATTTATATTATGGTTTCCCAGCCACACTTCTCAGTTCCTTCCCACTTCTCTCCTTTTCAAATTAGTATCTGTTCCTGTTGTATTTCTTAGGGCTATGACCTCTAATATCCAATTATAAAAATAATATAAAATTATGTAAAATTAAAAAATGCAAATTGGAGAAAATGAAGAAACAGAAGAAAAGAAAAAGCTTAAACACAAATAGATACATCGATACACACATTTGCACACACAGAAACTGATATCCACAAAACTAGAAGCCTTAATATCAAAGGTCCTATAAGGAAGAAAGAAAAAAATTATTATTGACATTTCAGATATTGTGAGTCAAAGATCTTCCAAAAGTGCCATTGAATTCAATTTGTGCTGGCCTTCTACTGGAGGGCATGAGTCTGGCCTTCAATGTGGTTTGTATACCCAGGGAGACTCTATAGGAAGATGCTAATATTTCCTTAATAATGGTTTTTGTTGAGCATGTGTAAGATGACAAATACGGCTCTATTTTCATTTTTCTACATACTAATTGTCAGTTAGACAAGACAAGCACCATTTAGTGACGATGCTTTCTTTTTTCATTGTATATTTTTGGCTTCTTTGTCATTGATCAAGTGAAAAGAGTGTGTGGTTTAACGTCTGGCTCTTCAGTCTATTATACTGACCAACCTGCCTGTCTGTCTCTGTACCAACACCATGACTTTTTTTCATCACTATTGCTTTATAGTATAGTTTGAGGTCAGGGATAGTGATTCCCACAGAAGTTCTTTTACTGGTAAGATTGTTTTCCTATTCTGGGTCTTTTGTTCTTCAAGATGAGTTTGAGAATTACTATTTCCATGTCTTTGAAGAATTGTGTTGGAATTTTGATGGGGATTGCGTTCAATCTGTTGACTACTTTTGGTAGGATGACCAATTTTACTACATTAATTATACCAATCCATGAGCATGAGAGATCTTTCCATTTTCTGAGGTCTTCTTCAATTTCTTCTTCAGAGACTTGAAGTTCTTGTCATACAGATCATTCACTTCTTTGGTTAGAGTTAACCAAAGATATTCTTTATGATTTGTGAGTATTGTTAGGGGTGTTATTTCCCTAATTTTTTCTCAGCCTGCTTATCATTTGTATAAATGAAGGCCATTTATTTATTTGAATTAATTTTATATCAAGATACTTTGTTGAAGTTATCGGTCCTAGAAGTTCTCTGGTAGAATTTTTTGGGTTGCTTATGTATGATTTAAGGCTGCAAACAGTGATAATCTTGACTTTTTTTGATATTTTCTTTATTTACATTTAAAAAGTTACCATCATTTCTGGTTCCCCCTGATCCTGCACTCTCCCTAACCAGTTTCTTCTCCCCTAGCTTCTGTGAGGGTGTTCCTCCACTCACCCGCCCACTCTCACCTCCGTGCTCTCATATTCACCTACACTGGGATATTGAGCCTTCACAGGATCAAGGGCTTCTTCTCCCATTGATGTCCAACAAGTCCATCCTCTGGTACATATGCAGCTGGAGCCATCGTTCTCTCCATGTGTACTTCTTGGTTAGTGGTTTATTCCCTGGGTGCTCTGTGGGGTCTGGTTGGTTGTTATTGTTGTTCTTCCTATGGAGTTGCAAACTGCTTTAGCTCCTTCAGTCTTTTCTCTAACTCATCCATTGGGGACTTTGTTGCTCAATCCAATGGCTGGCTGTGAGCATCCACCTCTATATTTGTCAGATTCTGTCAGAGTCTCTCAGAAGACAACTATATCAGGCTCCTGTAAATGTTCAATTCTTGGCATACACAGTAGTGTCTGGATTTGGTGACTTTACATGGGATGGATCCCCAGGTGGAGCAGACTCTGGATGACCTTTCCTTTAGTCTTTGTTCCACAATTTGTCTCCATATTTCCTCCCTAAACTATTTTGTTCCCCCTTCTAAAAAGGGCTGAAGCACCCACACCTTGATGGTTAGTGTGGCTAAGGGTTTATCTATCTTCTTGATTTTCTCAAAGAACCAGCTCCTGATTTTTTTTAATTCTTTGCCTAGATTTTTTTATTTTTGCTTGGATGATTTCAGCTCTGAGTTTGATTATTTCCTGTAGTCTACTCTTGTGTGTGTTTGCTTCTTTTTGTTCTCCAACTTTCAGGAGTGTTTTCAAGTTGCTGTTGTATGCTCTCTTCAGCTTCGTTTTGTAGGCACTCAGAGCTATGAGTTTTCCTCTTAGCACTGGTTTCATTGTGTCTCACAATTTTTTGCATTATGTGCCTTCCTTTTCATTAAATTCTAAAAAGTCTTTAATTTCTTTCT